TTCAGGTTTGGGAATGCATCAAGGCACTTGGGTTCAAACAGACGGTGTAGGTCAAGGACATCATAAGCGATGAAATCCACAAAGGTGATCTGCAGAAAGACAAGAATGAGTGGACACAAAATTCTGTATCCTGGAAAGAGTGACACCTAAAGATTTCTTCCTTTTACCTTGTCCCCTGCAAACCATGGGTGCTTCCCCAGGAACTGTGAGTAGAGCTTCATCTTCTCAGGCAGGGTCTCCAAGTACTCAGGCTTCCTTTTCTCCTGAAACAGAAATCAGCTGTCACCACCCTCAGACAAGGGCTCCCTGACAGAGAGGCTAGTTTTGCCAGTGGTGTCCATGGCCCCAGCTGCCAAAGCTGAGCAGCAACTTCCCGCAGCCTAGGCCTGAGCCAACATCTATTCCCTGCATCACTATTTCTTAGACTCCTACTTGGTAGCATCCCCATCTCTCAGAGTGATACAAGTCAGACAGGAACTTGCAGGCCCTGAAACTGCACCACTCATCTTCAAACCACTTCCCATGCATCAGACCCAGGAGAATGGGAGTACCTGGCAGGCTCTGGAGTCAGATGTTGAATAGATTCAAAGAAGCAAAGTACTAAAAGATCTCAGAAGAAAAAAACAAAGTTCTACCTAGTGGGGTAAAAAGGTATAAAATGAACATTTGAGTAGGGCACAAGGTTGGGAAGTACTTGAAGGAGGAAAAGGGACAGAAGGAAGGAAAAGGGTCAGCCCTGGCTGACCCTGAGCTGTGTATTAAGACAAGGTCCTGATTCATGCTGGTCTAGAGGACACAGCATGGGGGCAACATATGGCAGATGCCCAAAGACAAGGATGCATTACAATCCCCCACCTTGTGATTCTTTTTCTCATGGTTTTCATAGTGTCCTAGTAGCAGGCAGATAGTATGAACAGCTAGGAGAGAAAGCCTATAGCAGGGATTAAAGGTCAGAGATTAAAAGGATCCTAAATACCAACTCTACGTCGAGGAACTGAATTTCCAACCTGCAATACCCTAAGTTTGGTGGCAACTGACTCACAGTGTTTATTTGATAAGATTTGGGAATTCTAGGGGTCAATTTGTTAAGACAAATAATTCCTTGGAGAATCAGTCTTGTGGACCAGTGTAGATGTGAACCAAAGAGATTAACTCCTATTCCAATGTAATGATCCAGGCAATGGGTGACTCACAAAGTCAGGGCTGTAGCAGACCATGGCAAGCTGCATGCGAGTGTCCAAAGCCTGGTTCTCCAAAATGTCCACACGAGTCTTCTCCTCTTCTGTCTCCCCACCTGTACTCCATGCAACAGAGGTGCACCCTCAGCATCCCACCCCAGCCAAGCCAGGGACATGGCCACCATCCCCCACACCCTGCAGCCAGCCCCACTCACACAGGTTATGCTTGCGGGCAATGTAGCGCAGGATGGCGTTGCTTTGGGTGATCTTCTGAACTCCATCGATTAAGTAGGGCAGCTGGATGGACAACCAGGGAAGGTCAGGTGGAACACCTGGTCCCACAGTCTCTCTTCCCTGAGTTAGGTCCTGTGAGACCTGGCACTTGTTGTGTCTGGCCCATGGTAATCAGTACATCAGCATACCATAGAATGAATGAATGAGCTGGGACACAGCTGCCATAGAAAGACAGTGTAGACACATAGAATTGAGAGTAGCTGAGCAGAAGCACTGATCCTCACAACTAAGCAGGGCAACGAGATGAGGTAGGGATTCAATCACTTCCCCAACCACCCCATCCTCCACACCTACATTGGGAAAGTCCAGGCTCAGCTTGAATTTCTCACTCAGCCACTGGCTTCTGTCATAGTCCGGAGCTGTGGAGAAGATGATGTGAAACAAACCCCACTGAGTCCAACCCTCCTTCCCAGGACCCTCACAAGGAGGCAGGGGCAAGACCCCTAAGAAGTGGATCTGGAATCTAAGTCACTCAGCCTCACCTTCCAAGGTTAAAAGGTAAAAAAAGTTTCTAAGGGCCGTGAACCCAACATGACTGAGGTTTACAAAATGTTCAGGCAAGGGCTAAGGGGAACCCACCGAAATCACAAAGAAAAGAGGAGCCAGCTCTCCACTCCCAGAGTCTTGTCTTGGAAGACCAAAATGCACCCTCACAGAAGTCTGAAGAATGGGCAGCCCCTGCATGCAGAGAAGGGAGGGCTGTTAAGGTGAAAAACAGTGGCCTGGCATAGATTGCTAGGCACCAATCAGCAGAAGCCGGGTAGGGTCTGAACAGGAGGGTGCCATTACCGTCCCCCATGGTGTATCTCTTCTCCTCATAGCTTGAGTCTGTGTATTCCAGGAGCAGGCGGATGGGGTGAGCCAGCTGGGAGAGATGGCCATGGCAGAGGTCAGAGATGGAGGGACCCTGCCTGTATGATTTCCTCTCTTCCAAACAAACCCCACCCACCTTTACCCACTACACACACACACACACACACATAAAGGGTGGCAAAGGCCTTCTGACATGGACAGGCAGAGAGCTCCAGCAGGTGCTGACAGGGATCTGTCTCCTAGAAGGAGACTCCCTACTGCTCAGCAAAGTGCCTGCCCTGTCCCCCTCTCACCAGCTAGACGGACCCTTAGCTCACCCCGCGGATGTCCCAGTATCCCAGTGTCATAGGCATGGTGCTGTGCACAGGCCTCTCTGCTAGGTTGGCTTTCAACTTCTGAGAGAGCCTGGGGTGCAGAAGGTGGAGCCTAGTTCTGGTCTGGTTTTAGGCCCTCCCCACCCCGCCCCCGATTCCCACCAACCCGGAGTCCTGAGTGCCTGCCAGAGCCCAGGGGAGGGAGGAGTAAGATCCAGTGGAGGGATGGTCCCAGAACCTGGGCTGGGTGCCCAGAAGCCAAAAGCCAGGCTCTGCTAGCCTTCTCCTTAGTCCGGCCAGAAGCTCCCTGTTCCCCTCTCCCCACCCCACTCACTTGCTGAGTCCACAGGCAGCTGGCAGTGCTCTTGAAGACAGGCCAGACAGTGAAAGAGCAAGACTGTTCTTTCCAACCTTGCATTGCTCAGCCGAGTTCCTGCGTGCTCAGGGAGGTTCAAGCAGCCAGGGCCAGGTGCTCCCAAACTGGGAGTTTCATTCAGCATCCATCACTGAACAATCTCAAAGTTCCTCAATGCTTTATAAGCGATAGCAGCCTCGTGAATAAAGGAACGGTGTCAATGAAATAGGAAAGCCCCCCAGAAATATGTGGTCTTCCTATTTTTCCATAGGGAATTTGGGGGATGTGGCCCTTCAGTCACCAGGCTAAGGAGTATACAAATTAGCCAATTACTATTTTGACCCTGTTTGTGTAAGTAAATTCAAGAACCAGACACAGAGGGGGACACTGAGGTACTGCCCAATTGCTGAGAATCTCTCACACTGAGCAGCAGCAGTGGCCACAACTGGGGTATGTGCTTGGGTGAAGATTCTATTCTCCAAAGAGCAGACACCTCTCCTGCTACCATGGAGAAACAGGAAGGGGCTCAGAGGGACGCTGGAAGACTCTGCACAGGACACAGGTAGGCCAGGACCAGACCTCAGCTCTCCAGGTCCCTGTATTCCGGCCCTGGCCCTGGCTCCTGACCCATGCGTGTTCTTGGTATGAGAAGGAGTCTCAGATGGTCTTTGATGTCACTCTGGGATCCAGGACCTGGGGTGCAACCCTCACCAGGACAAGGTCCTATCCAAGTATGCTACAGGTAAAGAAAATATGTTTTGTAAAATTCAGTCAGCTGGAAAAGCAGAGAGGCATCAGCAGCATGTTCTCGAAGAGCCTCAGAGACCTGGCTCTCAGGTGCCGTCTGCTGTCGGCAGCCTCCAGCCACAGCATGGCTCTGCTGGGAGTGGCAGACACAGGGTCCCACAGCCACGTGGCTGTCCAGCAGGAGTGCCTCAGAACTGTAGCACCAGCACCTGTCAACACTGACCACAAGGCCACCCAGCCTTCTTGAGGACAGCTGCCTTGCTGTGCTGGACTTTCTCATGTGGGTCTGGAGGTCAGGAGAGAGGTCCCCAACGGAAAGGTGTTAGGAGACTGTTTCAAAATGAAGAGAGGTAGGACAAATTGCTCTGATTGATTTTGAACTATGTAAAGGATTTGACAAGACATAACAAAAATTTGAACACAGGTGAGTGGAACTAAAAATGAAATGGGTTTCTATGTTAAAGGGCAAGATTGTTGCTCTGTAGGAAGTAAAGTTTGGAAATTAGCTAAGACTTTGTTGAGACTGCAGGATGTAAACCCAGCATATCAGTAAAGGTTTTCCCCGACAGGAACAAGGTGTGGAGTGGGCATGAAGGAGCACAGATAAAGGTCATCTCATCCCTATTAATTCAAAGAAATGACACACCCTGCATGTCTCTGTAAAATGGAGGAGCTGACTGAGACCATGTCACTTGGAGTGCAGTCCCTGTTACAAATGCTGCCTTCAGTCAGGTTCAATTCTCCCAACTCAAATCACCTGTGTCTAAGCTCTGGCTGCAGCCTCAGGCGCCAGAGTAAACCCCTATGTCGTTTTGCCTAAAGTGAGGTAAGAGCAGCACACCTACATTCACGGGCCTCTGAATTATTAAGTTCTCATTATACATCAAGGTTTGTCATAATCAGTTTGATAAATCCTTAGCACAGACACATAAAATTTCTAGATCCAATTGAGGAAGTGATTTTTAAAACCAAAATTAATGAGATGAAAAATTTTGAAAGACAGAGGATGGATATTTTACATTGGTGTGCATCCTGTTGTTCCCTCCTTTTTGAAAATACACTTGTGGATGTGCCAACACAGAGACACTCCCATGACTGAGATCATCCTTCAAATTGCCTGCAGTTTGGCTCTTAAGGACTGAAGACAGGTGGGAACTACAGGGAAGAGCTTTTGGAAATAGGAGACACATCTTTGTGTTTTTCTACACTGAGCATAGCGGACAGGGAGAGAAGTCAAGTGCAGGAAAAGGAGGCCATGTTGCCTAGGACAAGGACTCTGAGCATCTGGGAGGGTGGAGCCAGAGCACTGGGGCCCCTCCAGAGGAAGAGAACAGCTCTGCAGAAGGAGGGGAAGAAGGAGATGAACAGGTTCGCCAAGGGGGATTCCAGGGTCCAGAAGGACCATCCAAATGGGTGACATGGTCTCTGAAAGGGACTAGAGAGCAGTGGGATTAGAGACAGTTAGATGGATGTGACCTCAAAGAAATTCACCCCAATATTGCCTGGTCTCCTGGATATCTATGTGCTCTGTCCCAACAGTACTGTGTGGACCAGTTCTAATTTTTTAGAGGAATACTATGGGATAATCAAATTATATGGGATGAAATTTGAGTAAGGGCCCATAGAGTGACCTCTGGACAAGATTCCATGACTCCTTCTAGGTCTGCGAGTGATATACTGACACTCTCAAGGTAAAAATCACAGAAATCCTACCTATAATGGCCTCAGAATTTTAAAGATATCACCATAGAAATAATACCAACAAATTAATTCAATAAGTTCTACTTCATGGAAATTTTTTCAAATTCTCTTTAAATATTGTTTTGGTAAATTCAGAAAATACAGTATATTTTCTTATCTCTGAAAAAATCAGATGAATATCACTATTTCCTAGATTTCCACCAGATGGAATGAGAAAAAGAGCATCCTACGTCCTGACCATATTAAGAAATGGTTAAGGGCTGGGGTACAGGTCAGTATGGGTCAGGCCATGGGTTTGATCCCCGTCACCACAAAAAAAAAAGAAGAAGAAAAAGAACAATTAGGTTAAACATACTAGGGATTTTAGTTCGACCAATAACAACACAGTTCAATGTTTTTTTCAAAAATTGTGTAAAACGAGATAAAACAAAGAAGAAAATTATTGAACTTTTATTAATATGCTTAGGAAACCAGTAATCAATTCTTCCTAAACATTAGCTAAATTTATTTATTTATTTACTTATTTTGGGGGGCGCTAGAGATTGAACCCAGGGCCTTGTGCAAGCGAGGCAAGCACTCTACCAGTTGAGCTATATCCCCAGCCCCTTTAGCTAAATTATAGAGCATTAGTCCAACAACAAAAACCCCAAAGAAAATTTCAAGTTAACAAACCTCAGGACTAAGAAAAAAAGACTTAAAAATTAGTACAAATTATTTCAAAATTGAGGAGACAACCAATTGGATAAATACAAATATATCAACATCTTTTTAAGAAATTAAGTTTGAATGAACTAATAATGCATAATAAAGAAAAACCATAAGCCAAAACACACTTGTTACTCAGGAATTGCTGTAATGAATTTTGAAGTTCCCAAATTTCCTGACCATTGACTATATACCAGACACTACCAGACATATCAGAGATAAAAAGTCCAACAAGCCCCGTGCCCTCTCCTCAATGAGCTTGTGACTGAGTGGGGTGACAACAGCCACAACACCAACTACAACACAGTGGGGTGTGTTCATGGAGAACGTCCTGGGAACACAGAGGAGGGCTGTCCAGACCAGGAACACTTCCAGGAGAAGGATCAGAATGCGGTCACCTGTGGGCTCCTTAGCCCCTTCCCATCAGCCCAGCACCTCTCTGAACCATGACACCTAGCTGCACATGGCCTATGGACCCTTACACTCTACCACATGGATGAGGAACCCTGGCATGGAAGGAGCACCCTTCTATAGGAATCCCATGGTAAGGACCACAGGGACATGGACAGGGGACAGCGACAACCTTAAGTGACCTCATACCCTGTCTGACTACACAGAGCACCCACCCCACACCCCCATGCACCCAGTTCCTGCTGTGGACAACAGACCACAGCCACACAGTGAGCCCCGAGGGTAAGAGGCAATGACACAGACACAGAGCAAGTGTGGTCCAGACTTTATTGGGGTCAGACAGGGCTGGGCAGCTGCCATGCTGGGGACCAGAGCCAGCTCACCAGGTAGTACTGGAGTTTGGGGCAGTGCAGGGGAGCATGGACTCAGTCATGCTCCTAAAAGCAGAGCTGAGGACTGTCTGGTTGGATTTAGGATAGGGATAAGGAAGGGGAGCTGTAACTTACAGTGGATTTACCTAGACAAGGGGTTGATTAGGAGAAAAGGAAGGCAATGAGGCCTTGCAGAGGAGAAGGTTGTGGAAAGAAGAAGAAGGGAATGAGAAGACAGATGCCAGGGTGCTGAGAGTTAGTTGTGCCCCAGGACCCAGAACAGCAGGGGCAACCTTGGATCCACATTTAACCTTGGCATGACAGTTTACTGTTTTTTATACCAATGGGCCATCTTTGCAAAAATAGGCCTGGAGAGGAAGCGGCTAGACTTCATGTAGTCAGAGATCTTCCTCAGGCCCTGTGAATGGGAGAGAGAAAGCAGGAGCTCAGGGCTGCTGCCCCATTCCAGGAGCAGGCTTGCCAGGAGGGTTCAAGGGCTGAGCACAGAATAGTTGGCTCAGGTTTGAGCTCTGGAAGGAAACCAATTTCCTGGGACTTAGGGGACACTGAATGCGGTGATGAGGGTTTTATTTCATTGGAAGTTATACTCAATTACACTCAATGATCCCACAAGATTAGTTGTGCAGAATTTATCTGGAAGGAATCCAAGGTACAGAGAAGTTAAGGGACTTCCTCATGCTCACAGAGCTGGTACATGGGAAAGGGCTGGATGGAGCCTGGCCCTGTCTCTCTAATTCTGTGGCCTCTCTGATACAATCTCTTTTCCCCTTTTCACAGGAGGCCCTGACACTCTTTGTCTGCACAAATCTTGCACAGCCAGGCTCCTTCTTGCCTCTATTTGCCCAAAATCTAGTAGAACAAAGGGGTTGGCAACATGCCTGTACAGTTTAATAGACAGAAAAGTGACCCAGTGACTCAGCAAATCCTGGGTATACGTAAACAAGGAGAGGTGAACCACCAAGAGAAGTGCTGATCAGCTTTTATCATTCAACCAGAGCAAAAACCCCAAACTCTGAAACCTGGTACCTGACTGAGCCCCAATTCACCATGTGCCTACCTACCTCATCTTTGTCCCTGCTAGAGGAGACTGGGTTGAATGACACTTAGGTGTGCTGTGCACTATCTTTTCAGGATTCAGTGCCCACAAAATGTGAATGGATTCAAGATCCTGGGCTATCTCCACAGGAAAAAGCTAGCAGTCCTCAGGTTTCGGCCCTCTCCTGTCCTCTACCCCAGACCACCCTACCCCACCCCAACAGTCCTGCCAGCCCTTGCACAATCCCTGAAGCTACTCACTCCGATAGATGCAGAGCTAAAAGAACTAGATACAAAAACACATCATTAGATGGGGAATAGGAAAGAAAAAAAAAAATCTCAGGCTGAAATAACTGTGGCAATAGCACCTCAGATTCCCAAATCTCTACTAAAGCAGGTTGTTAGTGACAAACAAGTGGACCTGGGGTGACCCATGATTGGCTGTGAGGGGAGGGCAGGCTGTGATCCTCAGCACCCAAGTGGCACCACTGGCAACTCTTAGTCAGGTGCCTGCCAATCTCTGCTGCACTTGGTCCCAGGATGGGGCCTCCATACCTGTCCACTGGGCCTGACACCAAAGCTTGTGTGGAGGAGACACTGAATAGGAGTGAAAATCAGTGTACGACCCCAGCTCACACACAGAACACTTGAGATACTCAAGAGGAGAGAGGATGCTGGCTGAAAGCAAGATCCCAACCATCCAAAGAGCCATAATAAAGTCCCCAAGGATCCCCACATGTGTACTCATAAGCACCAGTCACCACCCTGGGGTCCTAGTGCTTCCCTGGGTGGCATCTGATGGAGCCAAGCCTGCTGCAGAGCAGCTCTCAACACTGTCTGGGCCTTGCTCTGCCAGTCCCCCAGCCTCACCTCAGCCTCCCACCTCCAGCTGCACACACCCTGCCTTGCTCTCCTCCTGCACAGCATCCTGGACTGTGAAACCCAGGCTGCTCCTTCTGACAGAAGGCAGGGACAGCCACCCACCAGGGCCTTCAGTGGCACTGGGACCCTGAGCAAATGGCTTATCCTCTACAGTCTCAGTTTCCATGTCTACCCAGTGGGACTCATAATTCCATCAGCCTTGTAGGAATATTGTAAAGATAACTTTGACGCCATAAATACAAGATGTGAGTGCAGGTCCTGGCATATAAAGACAGTGCTCAATAAATGCTGGTTACTCTTCCTTCACCTTCAGGACTAGGAAAGCATCATAAAGGGAGAAGGGGAAAAGGACATTCAAGAATGAGGAGGAGCAGGGGCATCACCTCAAAGCGGGACATGAAGTCCTTCAGGTTTGGGAATGCATCAAGGCACTTGGGTTCAAACAGACGGTG